TTTCCCGCTATTTCTTACTAGTGGAGCAGATTGCCAAAGGATTTGCAAACTTATCTATATTATATTTTTTATTATGCCCACATAGACAAAATCTTGAATCCGTGACTAATTTCTAATGTTGTATTTGATATTAATTAACTTTCAACTTATCATAGAATAGGCTTCTCGGCTTATCCAACGACCAAGTTTTAGGATTCATTTAAACGTTCAAAAGAGATCTCGACTTCAAATCTTTCGTAGCCCCATGGTGTTTGAAAATGCCTTTCATCCATTAGGCTAGAAATTATATTGCTAGTGTTATACACTAGTAAATCCTTTAAGCTGAAAGTAATAGAGAATTAGCATGCAAATACTCAGATAAAAATGCTACAAGAAGTAAATGCTTTTCAAGTTTTGGACAAAATGACATGAAAGTATTTTAGCTAATAAAAGTAAATATGATGAAAAGCAAGGTCCAAATATGAACAAATAAATTTATTAGCCACATCCGTTGGTGTCTAAAAATCTGGGATTTGTTTTGATGCTTACTCAATATTTTACACCAGTCCCTAACACAAGCACATTGTTTAAGGGTTAGAAGACAATAATTGAGTGGGTAGTAAGTACCTGTTTTAATGGAAAAAAAATGTGTTAAGTGACAAAAATGTCTTAATCAATGAAAGTATGATAATATGTATAAGAGTATATGTTCAAATACAGAAATACTAATTAAAATTTCTCCACTAATGGAGATCCATTGAAGAATGGCAAACGTGCGTGCTTTGTGGTGGCGTTGGATTGAAGGATTATATTGACCGATGCAGTGGCTTCATGTTGAATATCACACTTTGAGCTAGCTTGGTATTGACCCGCCGCCATGGATGAGTCCCTCTCCCACGCCGATATCTCATCAGATTCTGGTAGAAGACGCGGTGGTTGGATCACTTTCCCGTTCATCATTGGTCTCTCTCTCTCTCTCTCTCTCTCTCTCTCATATCCTAATCACTATTCAAGTAATTTGTGTGGTCCATTTGCAATTGAATTGGCTACAAATGTCTCATTCTTTACGTGCAGGGATGGGACTGCACACAGAAATAAGACAGGTTGTTCGTGATTACTTTCAGAATAGCGAAAAGTTAGTTTAACAGTGTTTGACAGAAAACTTGAGAAACGTTTTCTAGAGAAGTACCTGTTCAGATAACACTCAAAAGTGACACTTGAATTTTAATCAAAATTTTAACTTTTTCTAATATAACTGTTTCTAGGAAAAACACTTCTGAGTAATTGCTCCCTTCATAAAGCAGTCTCAAATAGTGGGTTTGTTGAGCAGGGGCTTTGGGAGGCTTGACACTTGCAGCTGGGGGATGGATCTCAAATTTGATTGTGTTTCTGATTGAAGAGTTCAATGTAAACAGCATCGACGCTGCCCAGATCTCAAATGTAGTTTACGGTTCTTTCAGTTTTTTCCCAATCATTGGAGCAATCATTGCTGACTCTTTCTTTGGCTCATTCTACGTTATCTCAATATCCTCATGCATGTCCTTGCTGGTAATGAAAAAGTCAACTTCTTTACTACATGCTTTCACCCTAATAAAACATACATGATTTCTGTGGTTATGGATAATACAATTTCTTGTCAATTTGATCTGAGATCATGTAGATTGTTCATCCACTGGTCATGTAAACTGTCATTTCAATATTAGATTGCCAATCCAACAATATAACATGTACGAATGTTTTCTAGATAATCTCCATAAATATATGAACTAGGGTAGCATTCTAAATAATTGATAAATTCGTTGCAGGGCATCGTTCTCTTAGTTTTAACCACAGCGCTGAATTCGTTGAAGCCTCAACCTTGTGCTACCGGCTCAAAGTTATGCCAACCGACCTCGGCATTACAGTATGCAGTCTTGTACACAGGCATAACTCTCGCATCTCTAGGCTTGGGAGGTACCCGCTATACCTTGGCAACACTTGGAGCCAATCAATTTGACAAGCCTAAGCATCAAGCAAGTTTCTTCAACTGGTTCTTCTTCACTCTGTACTCTAGTACAGTGGTAGCCTTTACAGTCATTGTCTACGTTGAAGATAACGTCAGTTTTAAATGGGGCTTTGGCCTATGTGTCATCGCCAACCTAATCGGCATGGCCATTTTCTTCTCTGGAAGCCGTTTCTATAAATTCGATAAACCACAAGGGAGTCCATTTGTTGGTTTCGGTCGTGTTATTGTTGCCTCTGTTCGGAAAACTAGTCTCCAGCTATCAACTGAAAGAAAGGATTATTATTATGGACATGATGGAGTGACAAACAAGGTGGCTGCAGCAACACTTAGCAAGAGTTTCAGGTACAAACAGTATGGGTTAATTATATATGCAAGATAGAGATAGAGAGAGAAATTATTACGCTCAACTTCAAAACCAAATTATGTACCTAGATTGTGTTTTCTTGTCAAACAATTAGTTATGAGCATATAACTCTGCACAAGGAGAAATTTTGGGTTTCAACAACCAAACCATATGTCCGTGCAGACCCAGACACAACACCACATACCTCAACTATCCTGATTCGTTCTTCAAAAAGAAAAAAAAAGATCCGACTTTGTCAATATGGTATGATAGTAGCTAGAGATTTGCTCAACTTCAAAACTAAATTATTTACACTAGGTAGTGTTTTCTTGTCAAACAATTAGTTATGAGCATATAACTTTGCGCAAGGAGAAATTTTGGGTTTCGACAACCGAACCATTGTCCATGCGGACCCAAACACAACACCACATACCTCAACTATCCTGATTCGTTCCTCAAAAAGAAAGAAAAAAGCTCCGCCTTTGTCAATATGGTATGATAGTAGCTAGAGATTTCATTGAAGTACACGTTGAATATAATGTGATGGTTTTTACCACCAATATCTATTGATTTCATATTATATGTTCAAATTCAATCTCGGTCATAGAGTCAATGTGTCAAACCAAACGGAGACTTACATGTGAAGGGTGTGGTGAGATTATTATGTCACGCTATAGAAATGAAGCCTAACTTAGTATATGTGATAATGAGTCTCTTTACCCACTTCCAATTCGTTTAAAGGTTAGAATATTCAATCAAATTTTATGAAATTGGGCATTCTTTTCAACCTATTTTTGGTTCAATTTGGTAATTATTTTTTCTGCTCTTTGCTTGCTTACTAAAGTAAAATTGAATTCTGTAAGCGACTAGCTGAGTAGGCTAAAACCATTTACCAATGGGATGTTCTTAGCACCATTCCCTCTCCCTCACCATCGCTATAGTACAAAAATAAAAATAAAAAAGTAAAGTTGAGTTCTATTTAAAACGACATTAAAAGACTTCATATATATTTTCATGCAGGTTCCTTAACCGTGCAGCACAGAAAATTGAAGGAGACGTGAAATCAGATGGCTCAATTGCGAAACCATGGAGCTTATGCACAACGCAACAGGTGGAAGATTTCAAGACCGTTCTAAGAATTTTTCCTCTATGGTCTACAGCTTTATTCTTAGCTACCCCAATAGCAATCCAATCCAGCATGTCAGTCCTGCAGGCTCTAACCATGGACCGTCACATTGGCCCCCATTTTAAAATGCCATCTGGTTCTGTTATAGTCATTGTTCTATTCTCCACGTCCATCTTTCTGACCCTAATTGATAGATTCTTATGCCCCATGTGGCAGAAGTTCACTGGCCAGTTTCCGTCGCCCCTCCAGCGTGTAGGAGTAGGACACGTGTTAACCATTCTCAGCATGGCTGTTTCAGCAGTGATGGAGTCCAAAAGGCTCAAAATAGTGCAAGAACACCACCTCCAAGACCAGCCTGGTACTATTGTTCCAATGTCGATCTTTTGGCTTTTCCCACAGTTAGTTTTGGTAGGCATTGGAGAAGCATTTCATTTTCCAGGACAAGTCGCATTGTATTATCAAGAATTTCCCATGTCACTGCGAAGCACATCGACGGCCATGATCTCATTGATTATTGGGATTGCATATTATGTAAGCACAGGTGTGGTTAATATGGTCCAAAGGGTGACTGGATGGTTACCAAACAATCTAAACAATGGGAAGCTGGACAATGTTTATTGGATGCTAGCTGTGCTGGGGGTGATAAACTTTGGCTATTATTTGGTGTGTGCTAAGTTGTACAGGTATCAAAATGTAAAGGGTGCAGATGGTAGTCCTGACCCAGATAGCTAGTGATAAGTGATTAGTGTTGGTTGGTGATTAAAGAAATTATCTGGGTCATAAGTCTTGGCGCAAACCTAGAACAGTGATGTTGACAACCCCATTTAATTAGTGAAATAAGGCTTTGTTGTTGCTGTTATTGTATAAATTGTCTCATATGACCCAGCTTTTACAAGTATTCAGAATGCAATAAACATAATTTGAACCAAAGAGTGTCCTATGCATTTATACTAGAAATTTTAAAACAATTGAGGTCAAAAGATTTTATTTTTGCTTTTCCAGAATGTAATAGGGTAGTACATCTAATGCGTCTTTTGTTTCATGTGTGGGTAGCCGTCATAGATGGAAAGAGTGGTTGGCTATGGTGTTTGAAGCTGATGTAAACAATTTGAATCCATATGAAATCTTCTATCATTTGGAGAAAAAACAAACAAAGAGTATCTTATATGCAATTAAAATAAAGCGTTGTATTAAAAAAAGTCACATAACATATAAATCTGATAGTATACTATTTACCAAAAAGAAAAAAAATATTAAGACATATACAACCAACCTGCCTTTGTTTGTCTAACCAAAAACTTCATCTAGTCTATACAACAAGCTAATTTTGACCGTGGATGCTTGATGAATTGTTATCTATTTTTCTTCAGATTAAAACAATAAAAGTAATTTTTTTCTCTCATCAAGTTGCTCTCTGTACTGGGCAAATCTTGTGTGCAACTGCTTTACCTTGTCTATAGCCGTTCCGGGTTGTTTTGTTGGGGTTGGCTGCTAGAGCCGTTCGAGTCTTGTGACTGGTTCCCTCCCTGCTTATTCTGACATGGCTTTTATCGCCTGGCTTTAACATCTTTCCCATTAACTGAGAATTTGACTTTGCCCTCATGGTCCGGTTTATCAAGAATTCTTGTAGCGTCTGACGCAGACTTAACAACAACTTGAGCAAACAGTGATTGGTCATTTGGATGAACAGGCTTCTTCATAAAGACTGACTCTATACAATCTCCAAATTTCCTGCATATACATGATGAGTTAAAATAGTTAATCCAGATATTGTCGAAGTTGATAATAATAAGTCAATATATAGTAAAGTTATATATATATATCTAGACACATAAAACTGATCATATGTCATACCATCTCAACTAATTATATGTTGTGCCATCTCTAAATTAATTGGCGATTTGACAATTTATGGTCAGTTAAAATGGTACAAACTATTTAGATTTCAAAATCGAGCAACAGTCCACTACTAATCACACGATATTGTCTCAACTTAATTGTTTAAATCAGGTCACAGCCTAGCAAGTGTTGGGTTTTATCGCAAAGAACCTTGGTGCAATTAGACATGTAACCATTCAATATAAGTTGTAATCAATGAAAAAAAGAAACTAGAGAGAAATACCTGTTTAAATAGCTTTTGAGTTCTTTAGAAACAGGATGACCCTTTGAGAATGTCAAGAATAAAGTTCTATTATTGTTGTCAACATTAGGTTGATACTGATCAGGCACATCATCATATGCTTCTTGGGGTGGTAATAGAGGAGGTTGAGCCTCAAAAATGTTATGATCCTGCTGATTAAGTAAATAATTATGCTGAAACCCATGTTGTAATATTGTAGTCATTGGACCATTCAACAAATTGGAATGCTGGAAACCACTGGGCATATGACCCAAATATGGATGTGATGGGACTATAATTATATCCCATAAAGCTCTGTCGAAGAAATTGTCGATAAATCTCCTAATCTCTTCCCGGGCCTTCTCCTTGTTGTCAAACACAAACTCGAGTGGAATATTTTTGGTATGAAGAAGACACAGTGTTCGAAACTGACTATCAATTTCCTCCGACGCCAGAGGATCAGTGTAATTTGAGTGCAGATAGTGTAAGCACATAATCGACTCGCATGCTAAAGCATACAGGTCCACATCACTTTAAAGCTGTATAATCACGTCCACGTCACTTTGCCAACACTATGTCTTATATGCATTTAGACTAGAAATTTGAGTGCAGATAGTGAGGAAAATAATTTAAAGCTGCATAATCACGTCCACTTCACTTTGCCAACAAGGGCATAAATGTCAATTTACACATCCTGGAAGAAATTACATATAAAATTAGAGTCAGGTTGTCACAATGAGACACATGTATAAGGACTCTTTGAATCTCTATCTTTCCATGAAATAAATAAATCATATTTCCAATATATTAGGCATGGCATCCTTTATTTATTTGCAAATTGCATTACTTATTTAAGACTTCATCTTAGTTTAAGCATTTACATTGCGTATGTTAGGCATGTCATCCTTTATTTATTTGCAAATTGCATTACTTGTTTAAGACTTCATCTTAGTTTAAGCATATACATTGCTTACCTTTCTAGTAAAAGATAAGTATATGCATACACCCAAAACATAAAGGTCCCAAGCCAAAAAGCAAAGAAAACAGAGAGGTGAGCCGTTAGCATCGCGACAGCTAAAATAAATCAATATCAAGGAACATTGAACATTGCCATCTTCTTTTTATATATAAATATTATTATTAAGGGATAGAGAGAGTTCGAAATTATCACAATAATTTAAAAGATGGATAGTTTTGAACACGAGATATATAGATGAAAACCCAACACCTTACTCACTAAAATAATGAACCTCATGCAATATTGTCATCTTCTTCCAAAGGCAATATTCTTTATGTATGCACCCTAGGCTTACTGGAGGCGGACGCCCCCACTCACATTGGTTGTTAAACAAAAAAGAGTAGATGTAGTATCAACTTTCAAGCTAAAACCTCACTTAATAACCACTCTATTGAAATAGAACTTACATTTTGCCAACAACACCCCGATCCATTATTTTATGCCATATACAATAGAGATGAAGTATAATGGACATGATTGTAGGCATTGGTTACAATACTTACATGTATTTAATACAATAATCATCTGACGATCAATATAATTCATGTAGTTAAATGTATTTAATAGAATCACTACTATCTGACCGTCAACGTGGGTGATTTGTATTAAATATATATATAAGTATTATAATTTTATTATAATTCGGAGTTTTTCGTTCAAATTGATTTATGTTATCATTTTTGTTTACTTGCTGTATTTGTTGTGTTTCTTCTTCTTGTTTGCGCATATTATTTAATTACTGGATTTTAAAATGATTTTGATTTAAGAATGTTGGTTGTTTTTGATAAAGAACAGTGATTTCCACAAACATAAAACATTATGAATTAACATATAAGTGGTTCGTTTGTATATTGGGTTGAACTTTTTTATTTTACTTTGTTGTTTTAAGATGTCCCCATTCAAAAAAGTATCTAGCTCCATCCCTGCATGTCTGTATGGGACTTAGCTTTAAACCAAGTTTACCAGTCAATTAGTGTTTTTCTAATCAATGACGATAGATAAGTTTACACTTTTGTAGTACAAGAGAAACATTACTAAATAAAAAATTAGTTGACGAACGAGGACGATTTGAACTTAAAACATCTTTTAACAATACTCTGTTAGTTTTCTAAAATCTCCATTAACAACTACGGCTTCAATGAAGGGCCCTACTGAGCATCTTTTTGTCGGTGGGGATGATGGCCTCTAACATTGATTTGTAACCAACTTGAATGAAATGAATCAAAGACTTGCAAATAAAAATGATTTAGAAGAATGGGAAACTTTTTCACGGTCCCAGCTGAATTTTAGAGAAAAGACAGAGTTCTGCAATTCACATAACTATTTTTTTACTTCTCAAACATTCTTTTTAATTTTTTGATCGTCGAATCGAATAAATTGAAGAAGACCAATGGCTAAAAATTAACAAGAGTATACGAGAAATAAAAATGAGTGTTTGAACATCACTATCCAAAAGCAAAAGATATCAGGTTTTTTTCCTGCTATTTCTTACTACTGGAGCAGATTGCAAATGATTTGCAAACTTATCTATATTATATTTTTTAGGGTTAATTACAAAAAACTACCTCAACTATTGGCGTAATGACACTTTCATACCTCGTCTTTTAAAAATGACAATGTCATACCTCATCTTTATAATTTGGTCCAATGTTATACCTCCGTTAGCTTGTCCGTGAATTGGTCTGTTAAATGCTGACATGGCATGATCTGGGGCCCAGTTCCTTGCCTAGATGGATTCCACGTGGCACCACACCCAATGTTTTCCCGCCAAATGTCATCCACATCAGAAAATATATTTGCTTTTTTTTTTTTTGGTAATTTGAATTTGAATTTTCCCGCCAAAAAAAAACCCCTATGATATATACCATTTTAAGCACAGATTATCATCCTTAAGCACATATTATATCATCCTTGACCTGAAATTTAAAAAATCTCACCCAAAAATAATGGATATAACCACAACAACAGCAAAACAAGTGTATTCAAGCACAAACTACTCATCATTTGCAAGAAAAATATGAAATAGACCAAATTAAGCATAAAACCTGCTTAATTATCCATAAATTGTTAAACCTGTTCAAAAAACTAACAGAATTCATCTAGCATTTCCAGCCAACATTACAAAACCTACTGAATTCATAAAACCTGCTACATCATCCATTCAATTCACAAAAGACCTATTGGATGCATAAAACCTGTTCAAACTTTACAATTCCTTTACAAAAAACAACCATCTGTGCAAAAAACGTGGCTGTGGCTGGGTTGGTTGGTATTTCTGTGCTTGGTGCCTTTGGATGATTCAGTTAGTGGATTGCTTGGTCTTTCTCTGCTTGGTGCTTCTAGGTGATTCAGCTACCGATTGTAATGCCTAAATCCAAAGTTCATTTAGAGACCAAGCAAGCTTTTTAACTAAATCCAAATGTTTTACAACTAAGGAAATGGTTAAGTTTTTACCTTTGTTTTCCTTGTCCTCTTTTTAGGTGCAGTTTGTCCTTGAGCAGATGTGGATGCCTACAAAGTAGAAAATGATGTTAAAGGATTAAGAGTGTAATATGATGTTAAGTGATTTAAAAAATCATATAAAGTAGAAAATGTTACCTGTTTGTCCCTTGGAGGAAGATGTCTATGATGGGTTCTTGCATTATGACCTTCCTTTTTGCATACGGTACATTTCAAAGTGCCTTGGCCTTTCCTTCCTAGCTTAAGTGGTTGAGGAGGACCTTGAGGATTATTGGTTGGGTTTGTGGGAGTTTGTTCACCCTCATTGTCCCTCTCAGCAGCTTCCTTGTTCCTCTTCTTCCTCGGCCTTCCAGGTTGCCTTGTATATGTAGGAGGCAATATTGGTGGTTTATCAGTTTCCTCCCACATAGACATCCCATTCATCGGCATTACTAAATGAGAATACAGCTCCAAGTACCGCGCCCTCGAATAATAAGCACTGACATAGTCCTCCGGTTTTTCCCTCTTGAAATTTATGGCCGATATTGCATGGTTGCATGAGATTCCTGTCAAGGCATACTTTCTGCAAGAACAGGTCTTCTCAACCAAGTCAACCACATATTGCTCCCCCCATCCAGCATCAACTTGAAATTTAGAGCCCCCTGACCACTGTGCAATGCACCTGCCACTCTGAATTTTGGCTTGCTCTAACTTTTTCTTGATTTTAGGACAGAGATCTCCAACTTTGTTCGCCATTATATCCCTTCTCATCTGAATTCTCTTCATCAAGAGTGTATGAATAAGAAGCAACATGGTGACAATAGGTTTTTGCCTCGGTACAAGTATGACAGCATTGAAACTTTCACAGAGATTGTTCAGCAACATGTCACACTTCGGATGTGTTTCAAAATGGGACTTGCTCCAATGATGTGCAGGCAACTTCACCAACCAATCGTAGGCTTTTTCATCGAGCTTCTTCAAATCCTCCATTGCTTTTTTGAAGTAGGGAACTGTTGTTGTTTTGGCTACTGACCACAAAGCATCCTTCAATGTTTTCCCTTTGAACAGATTTCTGAAGTTGGTATACAGATGTCTCATACAATATCTGTGGTGGGAATTAGGGAGGACTTTTTTAAGGGCCGGAATTAACCCTTTTTGCTGATCACTGATAAATGTCCATCCCCCTTGATTAACAATCCCAACATCAACGGCTAATAACTCTAAGAACCAAATCCAACTGGACTTATTCTCCATTTCTACAACTGCATACGCTATAACCCATGTTTCATCATTTGGGTCAATGCCAACAGCACAAAGTAGCTGACCTCCATATAGACTCTTTAAATGACACCCATCTAATCCTATCAATGGTCTACACCCTGACTTAAACCCCTCTTTACAAGTCCCCAAGCACACATATATCCTTTGGAACCTCCCCCTATCCAGCTTCACCTTCACTGTGCTTCCAGGGTTAGTCTTCTTCACTTCCTCAGCAAAGTCCCACAACTTTGTGTACTGCTCAGCATGTTTTCCCTCAATGATCCTTAAAGCCCTATCCAAAGCCCTGTAAGCCTTCCTCTTTGTACAACCGTGATTCCACTCTGATTCGACAGTTGCCAAAAAGGAATCCACAGGCCATGTGGGATTCAGTTTTATCCTGTCCATGTACAAATCAGTCAGCAAAGGGGACTTCATGTTCTTGTTTGCCCAAGTTCTCCCACATGTGTGTTCATCAAGTATGGTCTTGATCTGTATGCTGTTCGAACCATACATTTTTCCAGCACAACACTTCCAAGGGCACCCTTTTGCACACTTTGCTACGACTTTCAATTTCTCATTCCTAGGAAAATGGATTTCTCCATATCCATTCACTAGGGAGTACATGATGACAGCTCGCTTGAATTGGTCATGATCCCTGAAAACAAGCCCGAGTGTAAGAGTGGGATTCCTCATATCAGTTTTCTCATTGAACTCTGGAAATCGCTCATGTTTTTTGCCTCCTTCATCATCCGAAGAGTGTACACTCTCAAGAGCATC